AATTAACCAAGCTTTAATACAGTACAATTAGGGCTGCGGTGGCTCAAGTGGTTAAGGCGCTGAACTGCAGATCAGAAGGTCGGTAGTTCAGCAATTTGAGACCCGAGTGCCATGTGACAGAGTGAGCTCCCGTCTCTGGTCCCAGCTCCTGCCAGCCTAGCAGTTTGAAAGCAAGACATTGCAAGTAGATAACTAGGTACCGCTTTGGTGGGAAGGTAACAGCGTCCCGTGCACCTCGGCGTTCAGTCATGCTGGCCACATGACCACGGAAACGTCTTCGGACAGCGCTGGCTTTTTGGCTTGGAAACGGAGATGAGCCCTGCATCCCTGGAGTTGGATTCGACTGGCTTTTGAGCAAGGGAAACTTTTGCCTTTACCTAATACAATACAATTATTTTAAAATTCCATTAAAACGAAGCGTGTTTTGGCCACCAGAGTCACACCTTAATCCTGTGTTGTTAAAGTGCAGAAATCTCCTGAACTTTGTGTTCCATCCAGTTTGCTATTTCATACTTTGACATTGGGGGTGGGTGGGTTCTAACTGCCTTTGGCGTTCCGATTAACTTTCATGTATTCTTCTTTTGTTTCTGAATAGGACAGGCTTGTATCGCTAGTGTTTGGACTTCTAAAGCAAAGGAAACTGAATTTTTTTGAGATCTACGGGGATGAGATTATTATTACAGCAAAGAACATAATTAAGCAGGTAATCTGTTTTATGGGAATTTCTTTCCCCTGGTGCAAACATAACTTTGATCCTTTCAGTACACACTCTTCAGTTACCGGATCCTTCCCCCTTGCTTCATAGCTTTTCCGTCTCAGTCCTGAATTACAGAGAACCGTAAAAATCAATATGTTCTTGATTTATCATAGTGTTCTGAATGGATTATTGATCGCTGTTGGGAGAAGTAAGCTAACTAGGTGTTTTTTAGAAGCACTGCGCGGAACACCTTTATAAGTTGTAAATAATTTATTGTCTTTCATATATAGTAGAAAACCGTTTATATTAAGCTAGGTATTAGAATGTCTGTTATGTTTCTCTCTGTTGCCCAGAGAGAATCCCCCCCCCCCCACTCTTC